CAGAAATGGTCCTGTTAACTGGCTTGTTACCCCTCGTTCGTGCGATTTAACGCTTCTCGACCTACTTTTCATGGAACTATGTTAAATCATTGATTTATGTCGACATACGGCCACATATATTGCAAATATTAGGCAAAAATTGGACTGATCAAATGGACCATTGCCACGGTGGACATAACATATGCCGGAAATCATATTCGAAAAATAAATGCCATGCAATTATCTACCAGATTATAATAAAAAAATTATATTTCCACAATATTTCTGTCCTGTCTTATCATTTTAAGTTCACATGCAGCTAAAAAAACACCCGATATGATATTTTTATATAGTCCTCCTTTCTATACTAATCGGTTTCCATCGCTTCCAGTTGTTTCTCGTGAACATAACTTTATGTGATATCGATTAATTCGGTTAGTTAGTTTATAAATGATCGGAATACATACAAATGCACCAATATGTGTACTAATACTGGTTAAAAATATATATAATTTTAATAATCTCCGGCATCTCCTTCAACACATTACAAACATCTTGACGAATTTAATGCCAAAACGTCACAATAGTGTGAAGGGTAAAAAAAACAATAACGAATAATAAAGGAAATAAAAATTTTATATCAGTGCATTAACCTAAAATGTACTTCATTTGAAGGAGTTACGGGTAACAACAAATATATAAAGCAAGTATTTCCCCTTTATAACATACAAATCAAATTAAAAATATGACAGTCATGAGTGTCATACGTAATGTCACGATTTGTTTTGATTATTTTGCTGAAGTGAGTTTACTTAACAAAAATTCTCTTCTTTTTTTATAATTCAATCTTACGAAAACCACAATAGCTACTGCATCTTACATCTTGGAAGAGGAACAACAAATAAAAACTCTTCAACAAATTTTATTAACATAATTTTATATGGTCGTATAATGAGCTTCATTATTACCCAAGCATATTACAGCAACCGCCAAAAGGAATGACTGCAGTAATTCGAAATTAATGCATTCCATTTGAAGTAATTCATAATTGAATTGCAGCAAAATCCAAGCTACACACACCACATACAACATGCACTGAGGTTTGGTATGCATCCCAACAAAAGTTTCCGTATTCGATATTCATTATTCCGAATATTCCGTGTATTCCGTGTATGTCTGTATGTCTTCATTCTAACTGAGCGCAGAAGTGACGATTCATTCAAGTGTTGATCGTGTGTCATTAATGATAATGACTTTGATGAGATGAGTTAAAACAGCAGTTGAAGTGTTGGAGTGTTGGTAGGAGCAATAGCATCAGCGGCATCAACGGCAGCAACAGCAGCAGGGACCATAATCATCTACAACAACAACAACAGCAACTCCAACGTCAGCTTCGGTGGCTATTCTTACACTTCAACAATTTAAATTTATATCATTGAGTTGACTACTTCATTTGTGGCTCCTTTTGAGTCAATTTTGTGAAAACAAATTCCAAGACATTTTTGAATAAATTTTATGACGACATTAATTATTTTCGGATTTTTTATTTAAATTTATCTTAAAAGTTTTTGATGAGTGGAAATCAACTTTTGAACTGTAAAATTGCAATTTGGTCACTTTCAAAAATTTCTATAGTCAATTATAATTTAACTATATAATAATAATTTGGAATGATTAAGAATGATAATTAAGAAATAAATCAAGAAATAAGTTACTAGAAACTTTTAAAGAATTAGAAAAATAGCACAGACTTAAAAATTTTAACATTGAGGGGATCACACAATGTTAAAAAAAAATTCTTTTTTTTTTACTACCGATTTTGATCAAGAACTAGATCAACTCTGCAAGTCGGCGACATCGGAATTCCGAAGCCCCTTTTTATAACCCAGTTGTAAAAGTAAATAAGTTACATTCACTAATACGACAAAGCATGGTTGAAAGTTTTATTGCTAACCAAATTAAAATAAACACAAATTAAAAGAAATGAATTTTCCTACATTTAGCCTCACTCAATTTTTTTTAAAATTATATCATAATTTGCACCAGCTGCTATTTTTGCTTCAGTTTATAGAATTTCCAATGGAGATAGTCTCTCTTGGATCATCATACTTTTCTAGTACGACTTAATCTATTTTAACTTTGAGAAGCTTCTTTCCGTCGAAGCTCTACTGACTGGAACTGTGAACATGAATCTGGTTACTATATGAACATTCGGGAATACTTCGAATATGGTTAATGCCATTATCAAACCAAATTGTTCAAATTATTTATTAAGTGCTTAAAGTCCACAGTCGGTAACTTTTTGCGAGGCTCCTGTCGGTCGCCGACATCACTGACGCCTAGCGACGCCACAGTGTGTAGTAGCACAGACCAAAAAACTTAGACATCCTCAAAATTCGATTTCATTTGATACCAATTACGGCCGACTAATTTGTAGGTTCGCAGTTCTTTTAAACAGTAACACACACCTCAATGAAAACAAAATAAATTGATTTATTGGCGATTCTGATTTAGCACTCAATTCTGCCTATATAAAATTTTATTTCTCATTTCTCCTAATTGCATTGCCATAAATCTATTAATGTTCACAAGATCAAATATCTTAAACAGAATATCAAATATTCTTCTCTGCCCCAAATAGTTTATAACTTCCGTTTCATTACTACATACTCAGAGATAAAGTCCTAGTATTAGTTTTTATAGCCAAATCGATAGTTAATAAAAAAAAAATTTTTTAAAAGACTTATATTTTGGATAGACTATCACCATTCCGCAGAACATACAAGGTTTGCATACAAATCCCGTTCAGGTAAGGTCTTAAAATACATTTTAAAAAATCTTGAATGCATATTTAGTAAATCCGTTCTAGAGACAGAACTTCAAACACCAAATATTGCTTATAACAATATCTACATAGTTGTAGATCTCTATCTTGTATAGCTAGAGACCAAGAGATCAGATTAATCTAACCTAACGTGTATATTAGATATCAGTAATTTTGATCAGTTCACGAATGTCCTTAATTCTGCCAGACTTAGAATTTGCATAGGTACTGTATTGTTGTCTCTTTATCTTTTTCTTCCACATACGATATTTTGTCCTGATTAAAATTCTATTTATCTACTGTTTGTTATAGGTGCTTACTTATATATGATCTGTCCACACTACTACGTGTTTTAATAGTCCGATCAAAGCTCAATACTAATGTATATTCGTGATTTATAAATTGTAGCTTGACCAGGTTTGTTTACACGTTTCCACGCCTTTACTCAAGATAGTATACAAGATAGTTAGGTATTGTGGAAAAGGGTCTTACACGCTAGAAAGCGTTATATGGAGCATTTTTGATAAGCTAGGAAAAAGCTAGCATTTTTAATACTAAATATTTTGAAAAGTTAGAACAAACTGCACGCATTAACAAACGCAATATTTGACTGATTTCTATATTGATGAGATCTGCAAGTGAATTGAAGAATTGGCCATACATCCTGCTAAAGCAGGAATAGTCCCACAGCAGATATTTGAACGTTGAACAATACAATCAAGTCAAATCTAACTCCATGTCATGTTGTAGTTATGTAAGAAGTTATTTCATTTTAAATACTTTTTTATGTCAAAAGTTTTAGTTTCGAAATATGTTAGCCATATCACCATTAATCTGGGAAATGAAGTAATATTAGCTCAATTCGTGTTTATCTAACGCAAAAATTTATTGTAAGTCAATCCTCAATCATGACTGGTTGATGATTTACTTCTGGCAAGAACACGAGTTAATAAGGAAGGTGCTATCGAATAGGCAACAAGATTCACTAACTCATCGTTGTGTTCGTTCCTCTCTATATTTCTTGAGCAAATAACAGTGTTTGTGTGATGTGATATTTGAATAGATTTTACTTTTCCTTCATTTACATCCTCTGTTGTGCCATGTATTTAAGTTAAAGTAGTTACAAACAGTGTTTAGTATAAGAGCAAGGTATTTCAAAGCCTTTTCTCCTAACAATTTTGAAACATGTTTTCTTTGTTTGCTTCCGTTTCTTGTAGTTTTAATCAATTTTATTTTAATTTACGAATTGCTATACTAATTGCCAATCACATAATTTATTTAATTTTGCTATGCAAGTTTCGGTTCGAATATAGATCTCCAGGTCTCAGTTCTAATTCTCCCAAAATAATATGCTTAAATTTCCGCATATTTTTAACTCCATTTATTATTATTATTATTTCCATACCCCATTAGGAGCTTAAGAAGTCTATAAAACTTTTCCACTGGTTTTTATTTTGTGCTATTGCTGTCAATTTATTAAACGATTTTACCGTCTCCTGCTGAACTGTCCTTCTCCAGGTCATTGCTGGTCTGTCTCTACGCCTAGTCCCCTGAGTGTTGCAAGTAAGTGCAGCATGCGCCAAACGCTTACGTAGTGTGTATCCAATTTAATTCTATATGCTTTTTTATTCTCATACATTCAACGTTGTTTTCTGTTTAGGTAGATTTTTGTACCTACTCTATTGGAAGTACTCCATAATGAGTTAATCATTTAACTACCTTTGTGAACTATCTTAAATGAAATATTTATTTCCGATAACTGCCTAAATGTGTATGAGTATATAGAATCCTCCTTCTAGAAGTCCATTTTGGGAATGAAAGAAAAGACTCTTAGTATAACGAATAGCTCTATTTAAAATATTAGAATTAAGTTGCAAAGAAATAAAGAGTATTGAATTATAATCTTCACGTACAATAACGATTAATAAAATAATATATACTAGAAGATATCATTAATTGATAGTAATGAATAGTCTAAAAATTTAAAATTCCTCATTACACAATAGTATCTTAATTACAAACCACTACCAATTATTTTAAAGAAATTAATTTTTCTAACTTATTCCTAGTTATTAAAAACAGTTTCAATATTAACCAAATGTGCTATGTTATATATTAACAACATTAAAGAACTTAGTTCACTCCATTCTTTTCAAAAAAGGATTTAAAAAACTTGATGGAATAAAATTTAACTTACCTCTTTTCTGCATAAACGAAAACAAGTCATCCAGAAACTCTTTACGTTTAGGATCATCATTTATTTCGTAAAGCTGAAATAGAAAAACAAAACCCAACATAAGTACAACTTTTTTTTTTAACAAAACTCTATATTTTAATAAATTTAAAAAAATATCTTAATTAGCATAAGTTTTCTTTAAAAGCAAAATTATTTCTCAAAAACAAAAAAGTAAAACTCTAAAGATCACTCGAAGCTTGACCTCAAAGGTCAAGTCTCAACCATTAGATTATTGTTTGAAAAACAAACCCTCTTATTATGCCATTGTCTCATCAAAACAGTATAAATTTCAAAAAAAGAAAACCCATAAGCCTATTGAAAACTACAAATAAAAAACAAATCAGAATACAATAAGAAATTCATTGAATACAAAACTAATTGATACAATGGTAATAATATTGTAGATGCAATCCGATAACCCCTAGCACGCTACCCATATACGAGTAGCAACACAGTACTCGTATTCCCTTTTTACAACACATCTTTTTGTTTTGGTATCGAGTCACCTTAGGTGTTGACCATGTCACTTTAACATGAGAAATTAAATTCATATTCATCAAAACTCTGCTTTATACTACACTACAATCCAATCCAATCCATTCCGATTCATTCCAATCGAATACAATCCGACAACATAGTTTTGGGCTTAAAACTCAATGAGCGTGAAGTTCGTTCATTGGGTTGGTTATTCGTATCTGTGAATGCATTTATCTGTGTTTTGAGAAGAGCAGCGTTTGAGTAGGAATGCAAGCAATGCAATTGCAACATCACACATTGTCTCTTCCCCTACTGTTTTTTTGTTCTCTTATCAATGGTGATGTGATGTGATGTGTTGTGTTGTGCTATGTTGTGTTTATGGGGTGATAATAAAATGTGTAATACTGCGGCGTTGTGGCAAGATAAATGATGCTAAATTGACATGTTATTCGCAGTAGCTGAATGATGATTTTCTCTGTGTAGCAAATCAGACAGAAAAATATGAACGCTAATTTGACAGTTTTTAAGGAGTGATAATCACATTGTTCGATACATGTTTGTACAATACTTAACAAAACAACAATAAATATAACAACAACAACAAAGTAAAAAAATTTGAAAAAAAAATCAATTTATGAAAGCACGTTTTTTGTTGTGCTAATTATGAATTGTTTGTTTTTAATTATTATTTACTTAAAATTTATTTATTTAAATTTATTTTCACATACATATGTGCTGTGAATATTTTATATTAATTATTTTTATTTAACAATTTATTTCAACTTATGCTGCTCTGAGTATTCTTATATGCAGGCAAGGTAAGTGAAAAAGTTACATATCCGACGGCAAATAGAATGTACAGTACAAATAGAAATCAGTTGAATACAAAAATTGTATCTCCTCGGGATGTTAACAGAATAAAGATTAAAATTATGAGAAAAAATATATATGCATAGTATATGTATAGTTAAAGGTAGGTTTATTACTAAAACAAAAACACTAACACGAAAGCCTTAAAAGTCTCTCATAGATGGAAGAAAAGAGTATGCCATTTTTGAATGATTTGTTTATCTAACATAACCCAAGAGCTCCAATAATCGTAGTAAAATTTTATATCATGATGTATCATTTAAAACTAACAACAAACAATAATACCAAAATCTTTCCGACGGCTTTATAGTATCTACATACAAAACAAAACAAATACTGATACAAAACCCATAAGAGTGTCTTATAGATCCATAATAAAAAGTAAACCAACTCATATGGTTCATTTCAATATAACGCTCTTCAACACTAGCACTAGATAGTTTTATAAGCAAATATATATCATCATAAAACTGGCGACAGCAGTATCAACTAAAAATAATACCAAAAGTTATCCAATAATTTTACGATATGTCTTATTACCAAAAAAAATAGTAATAAAAAAACCTTAAGAGTACCCTATAGATACAGAAAGTAAAGTAAACCATTTTGTATGAATCATTTTGTATGAACCAACATGCTTTAAGGTCTCAAATACTAGCATTAAATAGTTTTATAACTAGCATTAAATAGTTTTATAAAAAAATATATATCATCATTGCACTGATGACACTAGTATTAACTGAAAATAATACCATAATCGAAACAACGGCTTTACGGTATATTTTATTACCAAAACAAATACTAACACAAAATCTAAAAAAGTGTTCCATTAATTAAAGATTATTGCTTTTGTTTGATTTATTTTGACATAACCCAAGGTCTCCAATACTAGATAGTTTTATAATTATACAAATATCATCATACAGAACTAACAGAATTATCATCTCAAAATAATAATAAAAATATTAACCTCACGGTACCTTTTATTACCAAAACAAATACTTGTACAAAAGTTCTAAGACTGTCTTACAGATGCAGAAAAAAAGAGTAAGCCATTTTGTGTGAATCATTTCAACATAACTCAAGATCCCCAATACTAATACTAGGTCAGTTTAAGTATTATGTATTAAAAGAACTAACTATAGCAATATCTACAGAAAATAATAACAAAATCCCTTTGGCAGCTTTATAGTTAGTCTTGTGACCAAAACAAATGATATCCCAGGAGTCATTAAGAGTATTGCGTTACAGTTAAAAAAAAATAGTAAAGCATTTTGAATATTTTATTACAAAAATTTAGTCTCCAAAAACAATAGTGCTATAGGTATATAATTACAAAACTTAAGAAGAAAAAAATTACTATAAAATAGACCCTAAATCATCACCTTCTATAGCATAAACTGAAGTGACGAAAAAAAACTATTAAGTAAAAAATTAAACCCAAATTTCAATATCTAATTAATATGAAATTAAAATTAAATAAACAAAAAGTAGGTTTGTAAATTTGTTTCCCACAGTACTATCCCACTAGCACTCGAATACTAAGGATAGTATCCAACTAGCATACTATATTTGGCATTATAATCACTTTCCGATAAATGTCATATAAAGAACGTCATCTTTCCATACGATAAAAACATCAAAAAAAGTAATTTCAAGTTGTCATATTAGTTTCATTTTGTTAAAATTATGACAAAATTCAGCTCATTGCAGTTTGATTATGAATAGTTCTAAATAAGACCAATATTTTCTAGTGTCAAAAATATCATAAACGTCAAAGTAGCAAAAATTAATATCCAAACTAAAGACATATAAGACTAGAAGTAGGCGGCAGTATGTTTCTGTGTAACTGTTTATTATATTTGCTATAACATTTGTTTTAATATATATAACATTTGTATACACACGTATATTTTATGTACCCTTAAATATATAAAGGTATATTTTCTCAAAATAAAAACAGAAACAAATATATAGAAAACTGCACTTGAAAAGGCAGTTTATACTGAACCTATTAATAACCTATTAACACAACACAAGTAATTGAAATTTTAATTCCAATATTATTTATTTCACTGAAACGGTATTCACACAGCAAATCTCAATTTTATCTTTATTTTAATTCTTATTTTTGGTTCTTTAATTCTAATTGTCCAATCGCGGCGCCTTGGAAACTGTAATCTGTTTAGTAATTTATATTAAAAATAAAAATTTAACAATTTGTTTTTAAAGTGTAAAGATTTCTTTAACAATAAACCCTAGTACTAACATCCATTTCACACATAGAATTAATATAAAACACCATATAAAAAAATGATCCAAAAAATTTGGACACTGTAGAATTTTTTTTTGCATTAAAACCATGACAATTTTTTATGTGTAATGGATGTTAGGACTAGGCTTAACTAAAAAATGTATATGTACATTAAACTATTTCAATAATTTTTTATATATAAGTCATTACTATTGCCAAATGTATTTATTAGACAAGTGTAAGTATATATATAAACAAGTGTAGTTTTAGAATTTATAAAATTTATAATAATTTAATTCTATCCATACAAATAACAAGTTATAAAAGTTTATAATACTTTATATATTAAAGGCCTTCGGATTTGGATTCGTAAACCGATAATTTTCAATGTAATAAACTGATAGTAATGAAAGCATATCCAACGTAACCCACCTAGCCTAACTGACGACTCATAACAGCTTTTCAATTTTTTTAACGGCACAATAGAAAAACTGATCAATAAAAGCAAGAAAATTATTTTCACTTCTATTAAAATAATACGAATCAGATGATTTTTAGGATTTGTAACCAAATATTCTTCTTTGCTTGATCGAACGTAAGTTAATGTCAAAAGTACTTTACTCAAAAGTGTCTGTAATAATTTGAACAACGCACTTTAACAAATGTTCTATTAAAATATGATAATGAGTTAATTAGGCGATTTTATAGAAGTATAGTTCTAGCTTATCTAGTATATTAATAGAATATGTTATAAAATATTATATAGAATATATTAGAATCGGAATATTTTTATTTCAAAAGAGCGCAATGAATGTGATTATCCACAAAAACTAAAAATTTCATTACGCTTTTTTATATATACTTTCACACGCACTCGATTCTCAAGCCCTGTTGTACATCTTCGTTCCTGATATATCGTGGTCCTTATCTAGGGACTTACTTATGTTAGTCTCACGAAAAAAAAATATACGCGATCACGTTTAACGATCAAGACTATATATTTTTTATATATGTACCAACATTGAATAATGTTTTAAAATTATGGAATAAACTTTAATTATTATATATTATATTGTAATATATATCTATGTATCCTTTAGTAATGAAAAAAAACTGTTTGATCATCCAATAAAACTGCGCAAATTATTGTTAACTGGCTTAAGTGATGGCAAATAAATAAATTAAAAGTAATAATATATTTATATTCCATTTTATTGTTGAAAATATTTAAATTACTTTTCGAATGATCCCATTTTATTATCTTAATACTTTTTTTTGTTTTACTCTTAAAATTAAATTTAAATGTATATGCGTTATTTTTTTTTTATTTTTGCGCTTTTGTGTTTGTTATTTTGTAACTAAATTTATATGCAGTAAATTAAAAAATATAAAAATTGTTATTAATGTCGAGGTATGGGTGAACTCATCAAACC